GATGCTAGAATGATCCCTCTCTCATCTCGTCTCAGCCAACTCTTTCTCTCTTCATCTGATCCTCGTTTTTCACGTCACGTCACCGATTGCCACCAAAACGTACGCACTGACATACTCTCTCTCTCTCTCTCTTCAACTACCCTCTCTCTGCTATCTCTAGTCCAGCACACAAAACTCTGATACAAAGACGTCAGTATCATGTATGCAAAGAGAGAAAGATCACAGAGTAGCAAGAGAAAGAAAGAGAAGACGATAAGAAAGAGAAAGAAAGAAGAGAAAAAAAGAAAGAGCAAGAGAAAGAGAGAAGAGAGACCCGAGAACAAAAGAGAGAGAAAGACTGTAAGAACACCAAACCATTTTAAAAACTATATCAACTTCAAAATCCGCGAGACCCAAAGTGCTTTCCTCCTCTAACCACCAATCCTCAGCAAATTGACGTGTGTGTGTGTGTGTGTGTGTGTGTGTGGTCGGTGTGTGTGTGTTGTGAGTGCTCGTGGTGAAGCTTGAGTGAGTCCGTGAAGTGAGTGTGAAGTAAAAGTGTGAGTGAGTTGAGTGAGGACGTGAGTGACAGTGTGGTGTGTGTGTGTGTGTTGTGTGTGTGTGTGAGTGTGAGTGGAGAGTGTGGAGTGAGTGAGTGAGTGAGTGTGAGTGAGTGCAGTGGAGTCGAGTGGAAGTGAGTGAGTGAGTGAGTGAGTGATGTCGGAGTGAGTGAAGTGAGTGTGTGTGTCGTGTGTGTGGTGTGTGTGTGTGTGTGTGTGTGTGTGTGTGTGTCGTGTGTGTGTGTGTTTGTGTGTGTGAGTGTGTGTGAGTGTGTGGTGTGTGTTGTGTGTGTGTGTGTGTGTGTGTGTGTGTGTGTGTGTGTGTGTGTGTGTGTGGGTGTGCTGTGTGTGTGTGTGTGTGTGTGCGTGTGTGTGTGCGTGTGTGTCTGTGCATGTGTGTCCGATCTTTAAACGCTTCTCTTTGCTTTCTCTCCTCAATAATTATCTTAAAGTCCTTTCTAACGACTGTGAACGACACCCCTCCCCCCCTCTCCCCTCCCTCCCGATGCACACACGCCTAACGTACTCGGTCTGTGCACACATGAACCTCTTCTACGATGTGTACATGTTCTGTCCTTTCGGGGTATGCACTGACGCTCACCCTGCTCCGTGCATAATTTACATACACAACTTGGGGCACGTCAACGCCAGCGAAGCACTCTTCCTCACACACGCACCGCTCCTCTCTCGCTGTTAAATAAGTGAATATGTATACTATATACAACACACAGGCCACAGCACATAATTATAGCACACATCAACACAGACACCACAACCACTCTGTACTCCACAAATGCACACACATTATAATATGTGTATATGTATATGTAATATATATATATAAATATGTATATATATAGTATATATGTGTGTGTGTGTGTGTGTGTGTGTGTGTGTGTGTGTGTGTGTGTGTGTGTGTGTGTGTGTGTGTGATGTGTGTGTGTGTGTGTGTATTGTGTGTGTGTGTATGGATGTGCGCCATTTATGTATACATATACACATAACACATACATACACTATCTCACACAGACTTACATAAGCGCACACACACACACACACACACACACACACACACACACACACACACACACACACACACACACACACACACGCACAAACACACTCACACACGCACACGCAACAAACACACGCACACGCACGCCCGCACGCACGCTCTGTTCCGGCCCGCTGACAACAAAAAAGTGAGTGGGCGGACCAGGCCTGCCGATGTCACGAACTCCCTCGTCCCATCCTCCCTCTCCCGCCGGCTTCGGTTTCACACGAACGACACATGGCAACCGCAGTTTTTACGCTCGCTTTATCCCGCCGACTTCTTAAGTACCATTTGGGTGACTTGAGTCTATTCGAGACGCAACGAATCACTGGAGAGCGGAGCGGGGACATGATAATTACTCCTCCTCTGCAAGACGCGTCCGAGGAGTTCAGCCTAAGATAATGTAAATGAACCTTTTGTGCAAGGGAGCATAAAATGTTAATGGAGGTTTGGTGCCGGCGAAAAATTCCCCCACTTTCTCCGACCGGGGAAAAGAGGGAGGTGATCAGAAATCATTTTCGGGTAACTTGGTGGGGGTGAAGAGGGGGGTCCCGGGGGGGGATTAGATTCCGAGCCTCTGGCCAAAACTAACGCTCTCCTCGGACCCAATGACACTCCCCCTCTCTACCCGTCCTCACCCCACCCACCTCCCGGAACTCCCGAAACATACATCCGCATGCGAATCCAAGTTCGCGGCGAGGCATTCGGACAAGGACCGATCAAATTGATTCCGTGGCGAGGAACACAGCTGGACAGTCGCGACCAGGACCCACCAGCTCTTACACACACCACAGACACATGTATATACTTGCTATGCACACAGCACGCATCATGCATCCAAACAATGCATGCAGGCGGCACCCCAGCGGAATAAAGTCACTGGCAACAATCACAGATACCAGCGTTTAAACAAAGTCGTGCATAAACAACATCCCGAACAAAACAAATCCTGAAATGCTACCTCTGATATCCACACACATGAATGGAAACCGAAGCCTACAATAATAGGTTTTCGTCGGCGATTAACAAATATTCAGCATACAATATATTGGTTGGTTTCAATAGGATTACAGTGGGAATGAAAAATCAGTAATAGCCACATTCACACCCACGCACATACCGAATCCAAAACCTCCACAACACCGCACACACAC